GCCTCTTGTGGGGCCAGCCTGCTCTCGGGTGACCAATCTGGGTTCGGATTTCACTGCTGGCAGACCTGTTCGCTCTAAAGGCCGCTCGGCCAAGTTAAAAGCTAGAGCTGCGGTTGCGCTGAGGAAGACCAAAAACTTCAGGGTCTCCAGCAGGCCCTCGGCCGCAAGTGTTTGAAGGTTTTTGCGGCGGGTCCGATGGCTGGAGCTGTGTACGGCTCGGACTTGTTTGGGATTTCGGACAGGGAGCTGCTTAACCTCAGAAGGATGGCCATGTCGGCGGTCGAACCCAGAGCCCAGGGTCGGCCCCTCAGCGTCTTGTGTCTTCTCTCGGATGACCCTACGTGGAGGGGTTGTTGTGCGCCTGTCATCCGCTGGTCCAAAGAGGTCTGGACCCTGCATACTCATGGGTTTCCCTGGGCGTTGAGTTGGGCTGAACTCAGGGACGGCTGGTGTGCCGTTTTTGCGTCTGATGACCACTCTTGGTCCAAAGTGGCAGGGCCTGTTTCTGCCCTGTGCATGTCTTTGTACGGGCTGGGCTGGACCATGCCCAATTTTTGCACCATCGTTGATGATTTTGGCCGTGAAATCTCTTTGACCCTGTCGTCTCCTAAACTTGTCAAGCTTTACTGTAAGGAAGCTCATCTTCGGGGTCTTGAAAGAGACTCTGTGCATAAATACGGTTGTGGTTTCAGGCTTTGCTGGGATGTGGTCAAGCAGCTTTTGTCTTCCAGGAAGGTTTCTAGTAAAACCAAGGGTTGGATCCGAGCTCAGGCCACGAGAGCTTGCTGGACGGCAAGTGATGTGGCAGCGGCAGGGTATGAATTTTCTGACCAGTGCGCGTTGTGCGGCAAGGACCGCGCAACCCTCTTCCACAGGCTCTTCGCGTGCCCGTCCGTGCCGTCTGTGCGGGAAGCGGTTCTGGACAAAAGTATTCAGAATGAAGCGTTGGAGTTAGGTGCAGATCACGTCGACATGTGTCTGTACTTGTATGGAGCCTTCAAACATCCTGGAGACTATGCCCCACCGCCACTCACTGAAGGAGGTACCAGCCTGGAATGGTTTGTTGATGCGCTTCCTGACCCATCGGACCTTGCTGCTGCTCCCTCTATCCCTCCCTCCTTTGGGCCCTGGGGGCACCTCTTTATGGACGGCTCGTGCCGTCGTCATGTAGTGCGTGAGCTCTCCAGGGCTGGCTGGGCGGTTGTCATGGTTTCGTGCTCGGGCGAGCGCCTCGGGGTTTTGAAAGGTCCTCTGTGGGCTCCGTGGCCTCAGACGCCCCATGGTGCGGAGTTTGGGGCCCTGGCCTGGGCCGCTGTGCAAACCGAAGGCCCAGCTTTGTGTTATTCTGATTGTGCTAATGTGGTTTATTTAATGAATCTTGGTGCCGCTGACGGTATCAGCGCCAAGCGTCAGTATGCTGGTCAAATCATTCAAGCTAGGCATTATTTTGGCACCAACCTAATCTCCTTAGATAAGGTTGAGGCCCGCAAAGATGTTGACGAGGAAGGGCTTTCCCCGCATGAGAGATTCGCGCGAAGAGGGAACTTCTACGCTGACGTCTATGCCAAGGAGGGTGCTAATCAGCACCCTGTCATGTCTCCGACGGAGCAGGAGGCCCTCGATCATCATATCCTAGTTTCGAGGGCGATCTTGCTAGCTGGAGCGGAGCTCTTGCCACTTTGGCCGAAGTTGGAGTTTCGAGGTCTGCTGCGTTTCCCGCCGTCGCCTGGCTCGAACGCTCCCCTTTTAGAGCTCGTCCACGACTGGTCCCAACAAAGTTCCTCCTGGCGGTGTCGGGCGTGTCTGCGAGGTTCCCGCGCGAAGTCCAAGCCGCTGGGAGGAACGTGCCCAGGGCATTCCCGTTTTGACCAGGGGCTGTTGGAGAGACTAGGCCATCGAGTCGTTGCTTTCCCTTGCAGTGACAAGGGCCACCTGTACTTGTGCATGCCGTGCAAGTTTTACTCTAGCGGTGAAAAGGTCTTTGGTTTGTCCCGTAAGTGCGGGCCCCCCACGGAGGCTGGTTTCAGAAACTTGAGACGGCTCCGTAACGGACAGCACGCTGATAAGAAGGGTGTTTCGGTCGATATCGACGAATTTATCCCGCTACTATAAATTACAGGTAATTTGCCTTGCCTTCAGTGCGTCTCTGGCTGTCTGTGCAGGCTCGTCACTTTCAGAGGCATGAATGTTGCATTCAAAAAAAAAGAGGAGGATGAGGACGATGATGATGATGATGAGGAGGAGGAGGAGATGGACCAGTGGAAACCCAAGAGTCATCAACGATGTTGGAATTAACCATCCCTCCAAGCTTCTTCTGCATAGGCCCTCACAGTTGTTCGTTTCCATTGAGGGAACTGCCCCGTTGGAAGACATCAGTTTGGAGATCCTGAAGCGTGCCAACACATTGTTGTCGGGATCTTAACGCTACGTATCAACCAGACTGCTGCGTCTTAACGATCAAACTCGTGCCATAACCTCATTTTGTGAATTCCAGCACGGCGAATCAACATAATTGCTGCGCCCGCACAATCCCGAATCCTTCCGAAACGCCATGTCTGGCGCGTTGATCATGGGAACCCGAATTTGCGTGGCGCTAAGGCGAGAGCCACATTTTGAAAAGGAACCGCCCTCCATCCGTGAAGCTCTTGCAATTCTTGTCAAACGAGTGTGCGCGGCGCTGAGGCGAGAGCCACATTTTGAATCGGAGCCGCCCCCAATCCGTAAATCTCTTGCAATTTTTGCAAAACGAATGTGCGCGGCGCTAAGGCGAGAGCCACATTTTCAAAACGACCCGCCCTCAATCCGTGAAGCTTTCGCAATTTTTGCCAGGCGAATGTGCGCCGCGCCAGAGCGAGAGCCACATTTTGAAAACCACCCGCCCTCAATCCGTGAAGCTCTTGCGAGTTTTTGTTGTTAAACGAATGTGCACGGCGCTAAGGCGAGAGCCTCATTTTGAAAACGACCCGCTCTCAATCCGTGACACGCTTGCGATTTTTGTTAAATGAATGTGCGCGGCGCTAAGGCGAGAGCCACATTTTGAACACCACCCGCCCTCAGTACGTCAAGCTTTTGCAAAGTTTTAGAAGGAATGTGCGCGGCGCTAAGGCGAGAGCCACATCTTGAAAATTACCCGCCCTCCGTCTGTGAAGCTGTTGATATCTTTAAGCGTCAGAAACATAAATGGTGAGGAAGTCTCAGGCGAAACGCCCGGCCCGCCCTAAACACTGGCCTCGGTGTGCGAGAGGAATTTCTTACAAGGAGAAGGAATGGAGGAGGAGGACGAGGAGGAGGAGAGGGGAGGATGAGGAGGAGGAAGAAGAGGATGAGGAGGAGGAGGAGGAGGAGGACGAATACGAATAATAAGAAGACGAAACATACCAATCATAATAATAGTAAGAACAATACTAGTACTAATAATGGCAATATTGATAATAATAACGTTAACAATAATACTAAGAGTACCAAGCTGACTACTAATAATACTATTAAGAAGAAGACGGGTATTAACAACCATAAGACGTAAGGTAATACGACTAATATTCAGAAGACGAATAATTGGAAGAGGAAGGAGATGAGGAGGAGGAAGAGGAGGAGGAATAGGAGGAGGTGGATGATGATGATGATGAGGAGGAGGAGAAGGCAGAGGAGAAGCAGGAAGAGAGGGAGGAGCTGGAGGAGGAGGAGGAGGATTATGTGGAGTAGGAGGAGGAGGATAATGAGGAGGAGGATGAGGATGATGATGAGGAGGAGGAGGAGGAGGAGGAGGAGCATGAGGAGCGGGAGGGGGGGAGGAGGAGCAGGAGGAGGAGGAGGAGGAGGAGGAGCAGGAGGATGAGGAGCAGGACGAGGAGGAGGACGAGGAGGAGGAGGAGGAGGAGGAGGAGGCGGAGGAGGAGGAGGGAGAGGAGGAAGGAAAGGAGGCGGGCAGGTGACGACGACAGAGGGTGGAGGGCAGGGGGAGGACGAGGAGGAGGAGGAGGACCGCCAAGACTAGGCCGAGTAGTAGAAGGAGGCGCGAGGGGGGACGAGGAAGGAGGATGAGGAGAGGGGCGGGGAGAGCGGAGGACACGCTGGTTCGCTCGCGCCATCTCTGATATCCTACCCATCCCTCCCATCATGTCCCATTGCGCTGAGTGTTCTTCGATCCACCAGCGGCTTCGCAGCGGACGTCGAACACCCCGAAAGACACCAGCGTGTTTCGCGTAATTTGGACGAGGGGAGCTGCGTACACTGCAGGGGGTGGCGGATGAGCAGGAGGATGAGCAGCAGGAGGAGGGGGAGGAAGAGGAGGAGGAGAAGGAGGACGACGACGACGAGGAGGAATTGCGGCAGCAGGGGCGGGGGGAGTAGGAGAACCATGGGGCAGCGGGGAATGGGAGAGTAAAGGGGGCGACCACAACGAGAAAGCACTCGGATCCAAAGGTGTGGCTCGCGCAGGGGCGAGAGCCCCATTCTGAACGACGGGGGCAAGCGCCGATCCCAGAGCTGCAACAGGGGCGTCATGGTAGAAGGACGATGACGCTCGGATCGGGGAAAACACGACCGAACGCACTTTTAAGAGCCAGATGCGGAGGGGGCGCGCCACACTCCGCACGTTTTCGGCAGGGAGGAGAGCAGTATTAGGGCGGGCATGTCCTCCTGCAGGCGGATCTTGGAATAAAGCGCTCAAGCAATAACCAAACATGGTCAAAACATCGTCCCCAGCTAGTTGGTCAATTTTTGATTCTTCCTCCTGTGGAGGGACAGGCCCGACTTGGGAGTACTTCTCACCTTGTGCAGTTGCGAAGGCTGCAGGGAGCACGGGACCAAGAAGGGGCGGACGTGGAGGCGTCGTGCCGCTTGGCATCGCTCGGACGTGTGCATTTTTTCTTGGCGAGGACCCTGGAGGAGCATCCTGGACCATCGAGCAAAAAAACACACGCACGAAACCGAATACTGCACGGGAAATGGACGTCCGAGCGATGGCAAGGCCGGGCCGGTTGGAGATTTGCCCCCGAGAGGCCCGCACGGCGGGCGCCAACGGCGAGTTTGCCGCAGGCGCGCCGGCGCGCTTCTTTTGTGCTCGGCGTGCCGCCTGCGGGCCCCGAGGTTTTTCGCGCTGCTCGGCGCCGGGCCCCCCCAGTAAGGTCGGACGACTACACGTAAGAGTGACCCTTCGCCGGAGTGACCTTTGGTGCGCGGCCACCGGGGCCCCCGATCGTCGCGTGCGGTGCGACAGTGGCGTCTTGCTCGCTAGTATTTGGTCTCCCCACGGCCCTCAACGAGCCGCGCACCGAAGGTTACTCTTACCCAGGGTCACTCTCGCGTGCAGCCGAAGGAGGGAGGCAGGTCGGGGGCAACGATGGGGAGGGATGGGCACAGGGGGGGATGCATCGAACCTGGATTGCCCATTGATCGCCAATGGGGGTCTGATAGCCCCACCCCGTCCAGGAAGGTGCGGCTTCGCCATCGTGGGCCGATGGCCGATCTGTCAGCGATGTGTCGCCGATTCCAGGTCGATGCTTCCTCCTGCCTCCTCCTCCTCCTCCTCCTCCTCCTCCTCCTCTTCCTCCTCCTCCTCCTGCTCCTCTTCCTCCTCCTCCTCCTCCTCCTCCTCCTCCTCCTCCTCCTCCTCCTCCTCCTCCTCCTCCTCCTCCTCCTCCCTCCTCCTCCTCCTCCTCCTCCTCCTCCTCCTCCTCCTCCTCCTCCTCCTCCTCCTCCTCCTCCCTCCTCCTCCTCCTCCTCCTCCTCCTCCTCCTCCTCCTCCTCTCCTCCTCCTCCTCCTCTCCTCCTCCTCCTCCTCCTCCTCCTCCCCCTGTGCCAGTCCCCCCCCCCCCCAGTCGTGGCCCCTGCCTGGGGCACAGGGGGGGGTGCCACATCTGCGGCATGCAGCTGGTTTCGGACCTCCCCGTTTCAGGAGGGGAAAAACACACAGACACAGTTAATCGCCGACCCCCAGAAAATATAGGAAAATATGGGAAGTGGGGGGGAAGACAAAAACCCAGAACATATGGGGAAATATGGGGAATCTTTTTATTTGTGTGTATTTATTTGTGTGTCCCAGGGCCCCTTCACCTTTGCTAGCCTTGTGATGTTCCAACCTACTTTGGCCTTGACCACCAGCAAGAATTTCGAGCCCCGGAAAAGTACCCCCAAACTCGAGGGTTTTCAGGTGTCGGGCCCTGGGAGACTGGTCCGACATTGTTTCGACACTCTTCCGACACTCTTTCGACACTTTTACGGGTGCCCGAAATCATTATTTCTGGGATGTGGCCCGTAAGTACGATGGGAGCAACATGATGCTGGCCTCCCCTTCTCGGCCGTCCCGGTGGTCGCCGTCTTCGGGGGCTCCTTGGGGGGGCTCTCCACGGGCCCCGGGGCCCGTCGGATAACGGCCGGTCGTGGGGGGGGCAGAGTCCAGCGCCCGATTCCTGCTCGGTGATGCCACGGCTGTTGCAGTCACCATCGCCCTTATTGACATACTCGGAGGCGAGCGAGGGGGGGACGCGAGAAGGAGAAGGCCCTCTCGGAAGACGGCGGGGCTTCCCAGAAGCCCTCGCGTCTTCTGAGTCGCTTCTCGTGTTTTCGGGAACGACTTAGGAAACTTATGAGAAGGCCGGGGGACTTCCGAGCCTTCTCTGAGAAGGCACGTCCCATCTCACTTCCCCCCTGGGCTCGCCGCCGAGCGCGGTGATGTGTTACGGAGTCTCCCCACGAGAGATCGGCTTCGGATCGCGTCGTGCGTGGCGTGCGGGCGAGACTGGGCGAAACTGCACGACTTCGTTCAGGAGGGAAAGAAACACACAGACACAATTAATCGTCGATTTTCAAGAAGAGATATGGGCAAATATGGGAAGTGAGGGGGAAGACAAAAAACTCAGAAAATATGGGAAAATATTGGGAATCCTGTTATTTGTGCGTATTTATCTGTGTGTCCCAGGGCCCCTTCAGACTGGGCGAAGCTGCACGACTTTCTGCCCGAGCCAGGCCCGGGGGAGCACTCTGCCTCCGTTCGGGGCGCGCGCCGGGGTTCTCCTGCGGCCGTCCAGCGGATTTTTCGCGCGGTTCTCCCGCGGCTGTCTCTCGCGGTGGTCCCGCGGTGGTCCCGTGGTTGTCCCGCGGCTGTCCCGTGGTTGTCCTACAGTGAGCGGCTTGAGTAAGGAACACTTACTTTTCAAAAGGGACTCGGTCGTTCCTTAAGGCTTGCATGCGTTACGTATCCTTTCTGATGCGTTTTTTTATGATTTATCGTTCCCTATGCTTTTTTCCTTGGAAAACAGGGGCTTCGTTCCTTATTTATCGTTCCTTAGGTCAGGCCGATGACTGTAGGGTTGGTTCATGGACGTCCGCGGTCATCCCGTGGTGGCCCCGCGGTTGCCCCGTCTATAGGTAGATCGATCCATGTTAGTCGGTCCGAGAGATAGCCAGTGAGCTCAGTACAGACACTGGCAAATGGAGCGGTAGTGAGACCGATGGGCAGATCGATGGTGGAATCGATGGAGCGCGCGATCAACTTCTGTATCTGTCGTGGTGTCCGTAAATTTTGATCGAGAGCGGTCGATTCCTAGATCGGGGTCCCCTGGTGTCCCGTGGTTGTCCGTCGGGCCGAACTGTTTTTCGTCGTCGTCCTCCCCACTCCTCTTCCTCTACCCCATCCTCCAGCCCCATCCTCCTCCTCCTCCTCTTCCTCCTCCTCCTTCTCCATCGTCGGTCCCGCTTCGCCGCCACTTGCGGCTGCTGTTGCCAGGGAGCTAGCGCTTGGCTTAATCCCACGTCCGATATCCTCCTCCTCTTCCTCTTCTTCTTCATCATGTTCTTCTTCTTCTTATTCTTCTTGTTCATCATCTTCTTCTTCTCGTTATTGTTATGAATCGTATTCTTCTTATTTAATCGCTTCGCTCATTCCGCCGGCCCATATTGTCGCACCGTTGTGGGCTAGCCGAGTTTTGGGGGCCGTTTTGGGGCCTCTTGGGGCCTCTTTTGGGCCTCTTGGGCGCCTCTTGGGGCGTCTTGGGGGCCTCTTGGGGGCCTCTTGGGGCCTTTTTGGGGCCTCCTGGGCGCCTTCTGGGGCGGAGGGCTCGATTTTTCAGTTCTCGGTTCCCCTCTTGAGCCCCTCTTGGGCCCGTCTTGGGGCCTCTTGGTCCGTCTTGGGCGGCACTTGGGCCGTCTTGGGGGCCCTCCTGGGCCGTTCCGGGGCCGTCTTGGGAGCCTCGTGGGCCGTCTTGGAGCGGTCTTGGGGGCCTCTTGGGCCGTCTTGGAGCGTCCGGAAGCCGAAAAAGCCAGAACACAAAAAACATAGAAAAAACCAATGAAAATCAACGATTTTGGCCTCTTGGGGCTCTCTTCGGAGGCCTCTTGGAAGGCTCTTGGGGCGTCTTGGAGGCCTCTTGGGCTGTCTTGGGGGCCTTTTGGGCCGTCTTGGGGTCATCTTCGGCGTCTTCGAGCGCTCTTTGGGCGTCTCGGGGGCCTCTTGGGCAGTCTTGGGGGCCTCTTGGGGCACTCTTGGCGCGCTCAGGGCGGCCTGAGAGGCCGCACCCAGAAGGAAAACCATCTCTGAGTTGAACCGGGCGGGACCTTGCCAGGCGGCGGGCGGGGTACTTTTCGCCGGGGGACCCCCAGGGGCCGCCCCGCGCGCGCGAACTAGTACAATACAATTGTTAACCAGTTACCGGAGATCTTAGCACGCCTCTGGCCCGTTGGGCCGGCGAATTTTTCTTCCCCTTCCTCCTTCACAGGCGACGTTGGCCACGGGGAGATCCTGTCCGACGGCAATTGGGTTCTCATCACCTGGCCGAACGGCACGCAGACCAAGACCGTGTGGCCGAACGTCAGCTGGTACCCCCCGGCATCCAGCCCGAACAAAAAACGACACCCTTGCGTTGTGACAAAAACACGACGGGTGGGTTCCTGATAGTTATCTAATCGCTTCGCTCATTCCACCGGCCCGTATTGTGCCCTCGCTGGCGTTTGGGCTTTTGGGGGCCTTTTGGGGTCCTTGTTGTGGGTTTCTCGGGAGCCTCTTGGGTTTCTGTTGGAGCCTCTTTGGGGTTTCTTGGAGCTCCTTTAGGAGCATTTGGGAGCATCTTGGGGCTTCTGGGCGCCGCTTGGGGCCGAGGGCTCGATATGTCCGTTCCGGTTCCCACTTTGGGCCTCCTCTTTGGGCTGTCCTGGTGCCATCTTGGGCCGTGTCGGAGGCCTCTTGGGCCGTCTTGGAGGTCTTTTGGGCTGCATTGGGGCGATATTGGAGGCTATGCGGCCGTCTCACCCTTTGGGCGCTGCGCTGCAAGGCCGCGGCGCCTGATGCGACTCCCACCCAGCGATGGACCGCTCTATCGAGGAGTGGAGGAGGGGATCAGGAGGAGGAGGATGAGGAGGAGGAGGAGGAAAAGGAGGAGGAGGAGTGCCTGAGGAGGGTAGACGGAGCGCTGTGCAGAAGTTTCCCAGAATTTCTTTGTGCTCGCTGCCCATATTGTAGCATCGCTGGCACTTGCTAGCGTGGTCGGGGGGGCATTTTTGGGGCCTCCTGGAGCCGCTTGGGAGCCGCTTGGGAGCTTCTTGGGGGCCTCGTGAGGGCCTTCTAGGGGCCTCCTGGGGTTTCTTAGGGGCGTCTTGGCGCCTCCTGGGGGCTTCTCAGGGCCGAGGACTCGAAATGTTATTTCGTGTTCCTCCTCTGGGGCTTCTCTTAGAGCGTTCTTGGGGCTCTCTTGGGCTGTCTTGGAGGCCTCTTGGGCCGTCTTGGAACCCTCTTGGGCCGTCTTGGAACCCTCTTGCGCCGTCTTGGGGCCCTGTCGGATGCCTCTCGGGCCTCTTAGGGCGATCTTGGGGGCCTCTTGGGCCGTCTTGGGGCGTCGCGATGCCGAAAATGTCGAAACGCCAACATCTCCCCCAAACCTAAGGAAATCAATGAATTTTGCCTCTTGGGGCCCTCTTGGGAGTGCTCTTGAAAGCCTCGTGGGGCGTCTGGGGGCTATCTTGAGCGTCTTGGAGCGATCTTGTGGCATCTCGGACCCTTGGTGTACCATCTTGGGGGCCACTTGGGTGCTCTTGGCTTTTCTTGGGACTCTCTCTTGGCCCTTCTTGGGACTCTCGGGGACGTCTCGGGGCCCTGTTGGTGCGCTCCTGGAGCGCTCTGGGGGCTTCTCCCGGGACCTTGCCGGGGTACTTTTCGTCCAGGGACCCCCAGGGGCCGCCCCGTGCGCGCGAACTAGAAATACTGTGAACCAGTTACCGGAGATCTTAGCACGCCTCTGGCCCGTTGGGCCGGCGAATTTCAGCCTAGCAGCTCATAACACGGTAGCATTGTATTGCATTGCATTGCATTGCCCGGCATGCCGTGTCTGTGCATACCATGCATCGCGATAGCATCTGTCTTCATGGGAAGCATCGCATGATATGGCTCAGCGTATTATCGCATATAGTATCATAGCATTGCACAGCACAGGGTGGCATGGCATGCAATACGTACTGTAGAGTAAGTCATGTTATTGCGTCGCATACTGCGTCGTGACATTGCGCTTTGTGTCATAGCAGGGTCTATCATGGCATTCCATTGCATAGTGCAACATGGCGCTGTAGCGCTGCATCTTCCCTGGCCCATAGCTTGGCGACAGATCACCAGTCGACCGGTCGATGAGAGCGGAGGAGGAGGAATGAGGAAGAGGCAGGAGGGAACCCTGGCCCCCAGGAGCTTCTGGGCAGGTTCCACATAGGTCCCAGACAGGCCAACGTGGCTTCGGGACGGCCCAAGAGGCCATTCTTTGTAGGGCACGATCCGCGTGAAGGGTGTGCCGAATGTTTCAGATACCCTGATGCGAACGCCCCCACTAAGGCCACAGGTGGACCTCCTCCAGGCACGACCCGTGCGAGGCATGTTCCGAAATGGGCGGGGGTACGCCATGCGAAGCTGCTTATTGGTGCCATATGTGGAGCTCCTTCTGGGACATGGTTTGCGTGACGGGTCTGCCGACATGGGTGGGGGAGCGATGTACGAACCTTGTTTTTGGGTCTTTAAGTGGCACTCCTTGTGGGGCACGATCCGCGTGATAGGGTGTGCCGCAATGGTCAGAGGGGCGCAGTGCGAACTTTGCCTTTGGGGCCGTAGGTGAAGATCCCTGTGGGCCACGATCCGTGTGCGAGTTGTGCCGATGTAGACGGGAGGGCATGATGCGAACCTTGAATTCCATGGCCGTCCGTGGAACCCTTTGCGGGCCGCGATCCGTGTGAGAGGTGTGCCGAAGTGAGTGGGGCGACGTGATGAAGCTTCACTCAGGTGCCGCTCGTACAGCTATTTGCGGGGCACGATCCGCGTGAGGGTCGTGCCACTATGCGAACCTCGTCTCTGGGGACGTAGGTGGAGCTCTCTGTGGGGCGCGATCCCTGTGAGGGGTATGCCAACAAGGGCGGGGGAACGCTAGCCAAGCCTGTCTCTGGGGCCGCAGGTGGAGCTCCCTGAGGGCACGACCCGTGCGACAATCGATGTCCGCACTTTACACTACAACTAGGGCTTGCTAGAACCTAAGCGAGCGTGGTTCTAGTATTTACGTGTATGTTTACACACCTAGGTATATGCACAGGAAGGTATAGGGAGTTAGACATAAAATTGGAGCAAGCGATTCAAACAATCCGCCCCCGGGGGCCTCGAAATAATTGAGTTGGGCAGGCTAACAGAAATCCAGCCACCATACCCGATTTTTTTAATCGTCTGCCCCCCAACAATTTTTCAGCCGCCGCCGTCGTCGTCCTCGTTGTCGTCGTCGGCGTCGGCGTCGTCGTCGTCGTCGTCGGCTACGGCGGGCCTACGTTTCACCGTGCGTTGTCGTCGTCGTCGTCGTCGCCTACGCACGGCAGACCTACGCATCCCCCCCCCATAGGGCATCCGGAGTGCGTCGTCGTCGTCGTCGTCGCCGCCGCCGTCGTCCGTCATCGTCGTCGTCCTCGCTCGCCCTCGTCCTCGTCCTCGTCGTCGTCGTCGTCGTCGTCGTCGTCGTGGTCGTCGTTGTCGTTGTCGACTACAGCGGGCCTACGCAGCACTCCCCACATGAGGCATCAGTCGTGCGTCGTCGTCGTCGTTGTCCTTCGTCCTCGTCCTCGTCCTCGTCCTCATCCTCGTCTCGTCGTCGTCGTCGTCGTTGTCGTCGTCATCGTCGTCTGTCGTCGTCGTCGTCGTCGTCGTCGTCGTCGTCGCCGCCGCCGCCGTCGTCGTCGTCGTCGTCGTCGTCGTCGTCGTCGTCGTCGTCGCCGTCGTCGTCGTCGTCGTCGTCGTCGTCGTCGTCGTCGTCGTCGTCGTCGTCGTCGTCGTCGTCGACTACAGCAGGCCTGCGCAGCACCCCCCCCATAGGGTATCCGCAGTGAGTGCGTCGTCGTCAGCGTCGTCGCCGTCGCCGTCCTCGTCCTCGTCCTCGTCGTTGTCGTCGTCTCCGTCGTCGTCCGTCCTTCTGGTCGGCGCAATCGTTATCGCGGACGACCGTGGCGACTGGGAGGAGGAGGAGGAGGAGGAGGAGGAGGACGAGGAGGAGGACCAGGAGGAGGTGGATGATGATGATGATGATGATGAAGATGATGATGATGATGATGATGATGATGATGATGATGATGATGATGATGATGATCTGATGATGATGATGATGATGATGATGGATGATGATGATGATGATGATGGTGATGACGATGACGATGATGATGATGATGATGATGATGATGATGATGTGATGATGATGATGATGAGGAGGAGGAGGAGGAAGAGGAGGAGGAGGAGGGGCAGGAGGAGCAGGATGTTAAAGCATCTTCTGCTTCAAGGGTATGGTTCGCAAACTTTTGGCGGCCTCGCGGGCCCCCTCCCCGGCCCCCCAGATAGCTCGGGGTTGTCCGCCCTCCGTGGGCCTGCTCCCCCCCCTCCCAGGCCGGCGAACATTTTGTTTTAACTGGCCGCCCAAGATTTTTTGTTGACAAACATCGCTTGCTCCCATTACATACATATGTATGTACGTATAGAGATAGACATAGAGAGAGATAGAGAAACACATCAAGAAACATGTCTACATATATATATATATTTGTATATATATATATGTATATATATGTATGTATATATATAACATTTAGTAACTAGACTGGACTGGAATGTATAGTCGAATTCGACTAGGGCGGAAGGAAGGCCGATCGAGGCACCTTCGAAAAATGATCAATCCACTGATTGGGTTTTCTCTAGTTTAATTCTTGACGCTTCGAAGGTGCCTCATCCACATTTGGAATGTCGCGCCAGGCGTCCTTGACGACATCCTCGACCACCACTCGTCTGAGGTTTTCCCCACTGCTCCCACCAAGCGGAAGACTACATCGGAGGTGCCAGAAGACAGTTACGACATGTGCGCACACCTCTCCCCAGCAGGAATCAGTGCGTCGGTGAATGACGCTTTCACACGACCCACACCCCGCGGGGATGGCTCGTCACCACATGACACGGAGACCAACAACCAAGACGGCCAGACAGGAGTAGACGGCAGGGCCTCCAGCAGCAACAGCTCCTTTTTCCCCGAAGTGCCGCCACCCCTGTGCCCCTACTTGCCCACGCTCTCCACCCACCGTCTCGAAGGGGTGGAGTCAGACGGCCCGGTCCACGCCCTGGTCAAGTACACGATTGAGTGGAACCACGCAATCTACACCCAATGGGCCTCCTACGCACAGCAACAAGGCGAGAACATCAAAGGGGACATAACCGACGAGGCGAGGTGGCCGACTGAGCGGCTGCTCCCCTTCCTGGACACGGTGTACGGAGACGCCATCCCTGAGAACGGTCACCCCCCACGCGTCCCATGGGACGGACAATGGGCAGCGGC